CAGGTCTTGTGTTCCTGCCCACCCGAAGTCTTTTTCTCAAGAATGGCAAGCCAAGACTGAAGAATGTGACCGCCGTACAGCAGAACGAGCCACAGATGTCGCTGCTCGGTACGACTGTCATGGCCGCCCCCTTCCCAGGTTGAGTATCAGCCAGCAGGTCAGGATTCAAGATCCGGTATCTCACCGCTGGGACAAGGTTGGGATTGTCATGGGTATTGGCCGGTCCAGGGACTACCAAGTGCGTCTTCCTAGTGGTACTGTATGGTGGAGGAACCGTCGTTTCCTCCGACCTGTGGAGCTGCCTAGTGTTGACCCTTCCCCAGTACTTGTAGAGTCCCCTAATGTTGATGTCTTTACAGTAAATCCATCCCCACCTTGTGTTTCTGCCCCAGTACTCCACAGGTCCGAGCGACTCAGAAACAAAAGGTCCGCTTAAGATGAAACTATGAGCATATAGGGGGGAGGGAGGTGTATAATATGGACACGAAGTAGTACCTTAAGCTGTGTATTCTTATATTGCTCTATTAATTATGTATAGGAAAGTATTACAGAACATGTATTAATCCTATGTAATATTTCCATTTATCATGCACCATGTTATGTATGTGAATTATCATATTTACATATTATGTATTCAGCTTGTAAATGCTGGCATCTGTACATGCCAGCGCAGAGTGATACAGAGAGTTGAGATCACTAGTCCTTATGGTGTGGAAGCCAGTTTCTTTGTTCCTCTGTATTCATCTCCCGTACGAGAATAAGAACCTATTTTCAAGATGATAAGTGTTTGTGTATACCCTCAGTAGTGTAGAACATTTTGGGGGTACCAAAGACAAACATAGACCCTGTACTTCAGTTATGTTAAATAATTGTTAAAATGACTAAAAACTTTAATATAAGACTTGGAAAATTATTAAATAGTACAACCTTCTTGATAGTTACTCAAATGGTAACGAATTTAAGCCCTAAAACCGATTACTGTATTGGCGGACTAATACTACAGCTGGTGAGCAGGCGAAAACATGTTGAGAAAAATTCGTAAGGAATTCGTTAACCGAAGTGAAGAATCTTATGGAAGGAAATTCGTTAACCGAGGGATCACTGTACTTAGACAATAGAAGGGTAATGCACTGGTGGTTGGTGGAGAGGTGCGGGGAGGTGGGTGGTGGACGAGTGGTATCAGCTGACTGAGTAGGTGAAGGAGATGAATCATCTGGGCTAGCAGCTGGATCTTTCTTGAAAAACATCGTGATTGGTAGTTGCTTCCTCTTGGTTTCAAGGTTTCTAAATATTTCACTCCACTTGCATTCCCAGCACTGACACTAGGCAGTCTTTTAGGGGCCATTTCACACAGAAACACTAAAGTTTTGAGTACAACGCAATAGATGCTGCATCGCAGGCAATGGTTGTGCGCTAACAATCGGAGAGGAGATGCTGCGGGCACATGGGGGTGACTCGTTGCACTGCAGGAGAGACTCGTAAGCTAGCCACCATCTGCTTTCCGTGAATAGTCAAAATCGTGAATCACAAACCCATGAAAAGCAATGGTTTTGCTGTAATCAATTGGAGATGAAAATTGGTAAGCCTGGATGACTATTTTAAAATCCCTTTGGTGTTTTTTTTATCATGAATGGCAACATAAAAAGCATTAGGAGACCTCTTTTCCTCTTGAGATTGATGGACAAGACTATAGTTGCTATTGTACACATGAAGAATGATATGGTGGCTCTGTCAGTCATGAGACTGTATCTTAGACTATCTGTATAGCCTGTATATCATATATAAAAAAAAAATTCACATTCCTTTGGGTTTTTCAATCCAGACATCTAAGTACTTTTGTAACTAAGCCTCTCAAGAACACTGTGAATATGTCTGCAAATGTTTCAGGTTTTAGAACCAAGGAAAATCCTAGATGTAAATGGCTAAGGCTAATAAACAAATAATTGTCTCTCCCATAATAGCCTCTCTCTTAAAGAATGTATTTGTCCAAAGGCCTGCAACTAATAAATTGTAAGGTTGCATATTGCACAAAATACCCCTTCTTAACATATCAAATTTGGATACAGTGCAGGAAGCAGAACCAACATCACCTTCAACCAGTACCTCCTGGGTATAACATTTGTTCTTGACTACCTAGTTTCAAAAGAAGCTAAGTGCTTGACCTTTTCATAGTAAACAATGGTGAAATTTTGTGCTGGGCATCACCACCTTGGGTGTTTTATACAGAGTACGAGTTTGCTAACTTGAATTTGTGAGTGTTATATGTTAACATCCTAATTAGACGTACTTAGTGTGGTGGTAAGAGTTTGCCCTATGCTTCTCCAATAATCTCAAGTTCTGGCAGGCCTGAAGTGAGTAGGGAGTAATATAATGTCTGATCCTTGCTTCCAGTTCTCATGTCACCAGCGGCATGCATCACAACTGAAGATTCCTCTTGATCTCTACCCCTGTGATCATGTTTTAAGTTTTGTTCTCTTACATCAAATCTCTTTAGTTCCATGACAGACACATATTTCTGGGATACTAAAATTAGGGCTGCTGGCCGCTAGGGAATGTGATATTAAAATTCATATGGATGTAGGCTCTGAATTTATTTCCCTAGGTTCTTGGAGAATTTACCGTACAGAGTACTCAATTTAGATATTGGGTGATTGCTGCCTCTAACGTTGTTACTGTCTATACCAGGGGTACTTAGTTATTATATGTGAAGGTTCAGTCACACAAATTTTCTAGTTGGCCAAGGTCCGGTTGAGACTTCATTTAATATGAGGCAATAACAAACAAATGACGAGTGTACATGTAGTTGTGACTGTGGGCCTTTGAGTGAATAATCATCATTATTGTGAAAAGTGACACTTGTGCTTGCCAATTCCCTGAACTTTGGTACAAATGATGTGATAGCTAGTCTAAAACAATGATGAAGGTGTTCATTGGTGATGTTGGAGTGGTACTTGTTCTTCATTAAATTCATGGCGGAGAAAACAGACTCACACTGGTAAGTAGAGCCAAACATTGTGAGGATATGTAATACAACTTTGTGAAGATGAGGGAACTAGCTTGAGACACATTGTGTCCAGAATGTGAGAGAGGGAAATGCTGGGGTCCACACCAAAGCTAACCATGGACCGCCAATTGTGTACCCCTGGTCGATGCCATTGGAGGGTTTGGCTGATGTGGATACTTCTTCCTGAATCTGGAACAAGTGGGTCAATTATCTGTTTCCTCCTCTCATTTGAATTGCATTACTCAGTTTTTTTTTGTTTTTTTTAATAGCTGAAAGGGTCAAGTGGGATTTTACTAATACTGTATTAACATATTTACTTATTAGGTTTTAGATTTTAGTTTTCCATCCATCCTTTCTATCTCTCTCTCTCCCCCCCCACCCACCCACCCACCCCCCCAAAAAAAATCCCTCCAGTTTCATTCTTCAACTTCGAGTGACGGGCTAGGTTCGGCTGAGATATACACTAGTCTTAAACTTATTCTTAACTTTGTAACTTACAGAGTACAGTAGATGTTTTTGGTATTGTTTATATTTTCTTTTATGCTTGGTTTTTGATTTGGGTTGCTGATCATTGTTTAGAGGTTTCTGTATTTCAAGTTGATATGGCTCATATCAATTGATGCTACATGTATTTGTGATTTTTATGGACTACACAAGGATTTCCTTACTGGAAAACTGTTCATTTTCCATATAATTGAAGGCATAAGTGCCAATTTTATATTATTGATTCATATCTTCACCTCTATTATTTCCTTCTCTCTTCTACCTCTTGCAGCTCCTCAGTATTGAAAACTATAAGCACAAAGTCTAGCACTACACATTTCTCAACATGGATGAGGCAGGTTGGGTCAAGAGGATACATGACTAAATGTGGGGGGGGAGGAGAGTTAGGGGTAGGTCAAGAATGATACGGAGAGAGGTAAGAAATGATATTACAGTATTTGAGTTGAAGCCTCATGAGAGGATGCAACAGACGCTGCAGTGTGGAGAGCTGCCATCGGGTAACCACAGCTCACTCACCCAAGCATAGCAAAAAGGCCATAAAATGTTGATGAGATAAAGCCCATACTTTTCATCTTTGTAAATCATTTTGCAAAGCTGTCTTGTGATTGATGATATTTTAAGAGCATATACAGCACTAGGGGATAACTATGCCACTGTTTTAGGAACATGTCTAGATCAGTCTGCTAAAACAATTCCTTTTATTGATTTAGTGTGAGGTGGTATGATCACAGGTGAATTAGTCATACTCCTTTATTTCCCCAAATGTTCATTTTAATCAATAACCCATGTAGCCATATTTCTAATTTGTGAATACATTATGGGTTTGTTTTGATTCATCTTTTTTAAACTGTTGTACCCTACTGTAGTTCATGAAAGGTAGAGCCACTGGTCATATACAAAAAATATATACATTAAAGTCAACATCTAAGTAAACACTATTGATGATTTTTAGTCAAAACGTTTAACACTGTATTTGTGGATACCTAGAGACATTTTATATGTAACTGAATACTGTATTACTTGAGTCATTGTATACAATAGTTGATATTAATAGATTTTTTACAACCAGGCAAGTCAGTGGATGAGAAAGGAATCTTTACTGCTCTCATTAAAGGAGAATATTGGGTGAAACCATCTATAATCATTAGTAAATTAGACTTTTGGGTTATAGCTTGAGATTAGTCATTGAGTTAAAAAAAATTATATTAATTGTAAAGAAAGTTTAGTAACCAAGCACATCATTAGGTTGGCAGTATTTAGAATAGCTACATGCATTACTGTAACATTAAATAGTACTTGTCAGAAGTAAATAACTTGCTGTACATTGTTTTTCAACTCCTTATTTCTTTTTAATCTAAATAATTTTCTTTTCTATCTTTTGCAACCCTGACAAACATTGTTTTTCATCTCCTTATCTCTTTTCAAGCTAAATGATTTTCTTGTCTATCTTTTGCAACACTGACAAACCTGACTGGTGGCGTGGCTGCACCAGATGGATGACGACCCTCCACATGGGTTCAATCAAACGTTTATGCTCAAGCCACTCGGTGACAGTTTCTTCGTTCAACACGACATGTTTCGCTTGGCACTCCACCATATTGTCGTATGAGTGGAGTCCGCAGGGGTCAAGCTCAGAGGGGGCACAGCTCTCATTATCAAGTCTGCTTCACCACCTTATTGTAAGGTACTCACGAATATTCCTGTGGGTGCTTGGATGTGTTTATTTCGTGCGTGTCTCGTTTGTTTTGTCATAGCATATTCCCCTCTCCATGCACGTGTATATTTATTTACCGTCCCTAATTATTTGGCCCCAGCTTTTTGACCTGCAAGTGTTGGTTTTGCCTGAACTTGTACATTTTAACTGTGCTTGATTACATTTGCCAAAGCTTTTTGAGTGTCACTGTTGGTTTTTGTTGAACTTAATGGAATGATTTATTAAATTTAATTTAGATTAGTTGTAGATGAAGATATACCCATGGGATCAAATACAGCAGAACTCCCACATATGACCTTTCACAATTAGCTGGAAACAATGCACCCGATCTCATAAAAAAAAACGAATATGGGGAATAACACCAACAATACTCATATTTATTGAATTATTGTCATATGTGGTAATACACAAAGTTTGTACTTGTAATTTGTATTATGCTCAGCCACTTGCTAGTTTAGACCAAAGACAGTTTTACCTCTACCGAATCGCTCCTCAAATTTCAGTAGTACCTCTATTCTGAACGAATTCATTATTCGTGAATTAAAGAAAATATATAGTAAGTCCTCGATAACTCTGCACATTTGGGGCTCTGGCCTTGCCGAGTTATCAAGGCACCCACCCCACCCTACAAAAATACAATAAAACATTATTGACCCATATATGTGAACTGTACATACAATTACTAAATGTAAAAAAGGTAACACGAGCATTGCAGGTGAAGAGTGAAGCATCATAGTAGGTGACACAGGTATGGTAGGTGACACAGAGGCATGGTAGGTGATGCAGGTGGCCAGATATTCCAAGATTTTCCCAGATAATTTTATATATCTCGGCCTTTCCCTAGTTATACTAATACATTCCGAGACCATATCCATGGCGAGTTATGTGAAATTTTGAGTTATCAAATGCCGAGTTATCGAGGGTTTATTGTATACTCTTTATTAAAGTCTTGTCTTACTAAATTATGTTTTTTAAAAAAATAAAACATCCAGTACAGTACAGTATTCCTTTAAAGCTCCTGGGTCTAAGGCTTGCTTCCCTCGGAAACTCATAGACTGCCATGAAAAAAAAAAGTTTGAGGGGCGGTGCGCAGGGCGAGCGTCAGCAGTCGGAATGAGCTTACAGCCACGAGGTGACGAACACATTTCCCCTTGCCTAGTGTTGTTTATAGTCTGCTGTCCTCCCACTGCTGACTTCTTTGCAGCATTCTGTGTTTCACCACGCCTCCCAAATGCCCTGCAAGTGGTTCTAGCAATGTAACCCCACCTAAGAAGAAGAGGGAAGTGAAAGTGATGACATTAGAGGAGAAGAATGTGTTAGACAAGTTGCAAGAAGGGATGAGTTATGCTGCTACTGGATGTCTGTTTGGTATCAGCAGTGAGATCTATCAAGGCAAAGAAATATAATATTTGTAAAGCTGTTTCCCTATGTGCACTTGCAAAGAAGATCAGTTCTTTCAGAGATATCAACATTGTCAAGATAAAGAGGAGTTTAATCCTGTGGTCTGTGGTTAGAGATGCACAACAGCCAAAGTATCTTGCTGACTCACGCACTCTCCAGGAGAAGGCCAAGTGTTTGTACAATTTCTATTGTGGTGAATGTGAGCAGACTTTTAATGCCAGTAAAGACTGGTTGGAAAATTTTAAGAGGAGGTAGGCTTTCATAACATGAAGATTCAAGGGGAACCGGCATCTGCCGACCACAAAGCTACAAAAGCCTACCCTCCAGAGTTTGCTGCACTCATTCGTGAGAAAGGCTATAAAACTGAACAAGTGTTTAATCCTGGTGAGACAGGCCATTGGTGAGAGAAGATGCCCAGTCACACCTTCATCAGTCAGTCTGAGAAAGTTGCACCTGGCTTCAAAGCAGCCAAGGACTGTTTCACCATCCTTATGTGCTGTAATGCTGCAGGGCACCTTATCAAGCCCATGCTGCTGTACCGTTCAAAGAAGCCGCTTTCTCTTAAGAAGGAAGATATGCATCTCCTTCCTGTTTTTTATAGGCATAACGAGAAAGCATGGATGACTGCTGAACCTTTTACAGATTGGTTCCACAACTGTTTCACATGAGAAGTGGAAAAGTATCTGTGCAGCAAGAACATGGAGTTTAAGGCCCTTCTCTGCATTGACAACTGTCCAGGGCACCCAGAAACCATCAAATATGCCAACCCTAGCATAGAAGTGGTCTTCCTCCCAAGGAACACAACTTCTATTATTCAGCCTCATGACCAAGGAATAATTGGCGTCTTCAAGTCATATTACCTCAATCACAGTTTTTCTAAGATCCACGAGACACTGGAAGAAGATGGCCAGACAGGGGTGAAGATGATGTGGAAAAATTGCACCATTGCTGACTGCATAGCAAATGTAAAGCTGAGCCTTGATAAAATCACTAGCAATGTGTGAACTCCTGTTGGAAGGCCCTATGGCCTGAAGCAGTGAATGATTTCAATGGCTTCCCCTCAGTGGAGCCCCAGATCACACGCATGGTGCTAGTGGCAAGACAGGTTGGTGGGGAGGGATTTGGTGATATGCAACCAGAAGAAATCAGAGAAGAGCAGCTTGGAAACACTGGAGAAGAGTTAACAAATGAAGACTGGCTGCTTTACTAAGAGAAGATGATCAGGAACGAGATCTTGGTCCTGTTAATTTAGAGGAAAACATCTGGGCATTTGAGAAAATGAACAGAATTTTGACATTCTTCAAGCAAGGAAAAAAGTACTTCGGGAATTAGACCCGTCTCTAGACCGAGCACTGAAGATAAACAGATGTGTGGACCAAGCACTAGCATCACTCAACAAAATCTACAAAGATTTAAAGTGCCAGAGATCTCAACTTCCCATCACTCTATTCTTCTCCAGAGTTCCCAAAATGCCAGCTTCAACTCAATCTTTTGCCACTCCAATTACTCCAGCCACTGCTATTGTATCATGCCAATGCCCTCCACTCTTCAACTTGTCCTCTGAAGATGAGGACGACCCCAAGTTCTCTCCTCCCCACAACTCTCCCCTGTTGAGGCAGAAGAGGGTGAGGGGCAGTGAACATCATCACCGAGCATCATCTTCATCATCAACTTCAAGGGATCAAGAGAAGTCATCACCTAAGTGCAGTACAGAGTACTGTATTTGTTATTTTAGGTTTATTTAATTATGATATCTCATATTTATAATATTGTCTTACGCCCATCATATTCATTATATGGGATCATTGTCATCATAGTAAGACAATCCAGGATGAATGGTGAGTTCAGATATTCATACAGCACAGGTGGTTGTGTGGTGTTATTTAAACTGAAATAAGCCTAACCAACCGGCGCCAGATTCTCATTGACAAACTTCTCACTGCTTTCACAATGACGATTACCTCCCATACAGAATACACACCCATGCTCTTCATATTTCTTATTTTATAGTTTTATCATGTATTTTCTTTATTTTTTTAAGTCACATTAGAGCATTGAAAAGATTTTTACCACAACTGTTATAGTTTCAGTACCAGTAACAATGGCAGTATGCTTTACCATCTCTTGTAGGCCACAGCTGGTTGCCTTGTGTGTTGTTTTGAGTTACTGTACATGTACATATGTTTCAACAGCAGCATGAAAATACAAATTATTTCTGGCAGCATTAATGATAGTTCTATTTTCTGTTTAAAACTTTATTCTACTTTTTATGACATAGCAATAAATATACATAGAGTGAACTGGTCACAGTCTCCCTAAACTGAAATAGACCTAACCAGCTGAGTCGCCAGATACTCTATTGACAAACTTCTCACTGCTTCCACATTGACGATCACTTCTTCCTATTTCTTATCTTATAGTTTTATATTACAGCATATTTTCGTTATTTCTAAGTCGCATTAAAGTATTGAAATGATTTTTTCCACAACTTTTATAATTTCATTACATGTAACAATGGCACCATGCATAACCCAATCCCTCCCTCACTCCCAAAAGCAGGGAAAGGAACGGTAAAGACCATAGAGACCCTCGCGGCCAGTAGTGAAGTTGTCAGACACAGTACACAACCTCCCTTGCTCCCCATTCAACCCATAGTGCAATCCGTGGAGGGGTCAGTGCCGCGTTGTTTAAACCCTAGTAGTTTAACCCTTAGGCCTCGGGTGACGTTCCAGAACGTCCACCTATTTTCCTTTTTTTTAATTTTTTTTTGGAAATGTTGATTTTCTTTCTCGATTTAATCCCTCGTGGGGGGTACTGCCAGCAGCACCCAAACCCGGGGTTTAAGGGTTAAGGGATATGTGTACATAATATTGTTATATATGTGCAATAGCTATTTATACTATATATACTGTATTTATATAACTGATAGACAATAAAGACTTGTGAATTTATAAATTAGTAAAACTTTTAGTGTTTTAATTATGCATGTTAGTGTAGCTGCTGTATAATACAGTAGTGTAAAAATTCCAACAATGGATAGTCTTGGTGATTCCTGGACTTTAGCACCTATTTTTCATTTGCAATTCCACAATTTTCTGGTTATGCAATCCATTTAGGAATGTAACCTCACATAAAAATTAAGGTTTATAGTAGGTATGTTAAACCTTACGCCCTGGGCTAGGGTGTCGCTGGTCGTATCCCCAACGCGGGGTAAAACGAGTAAAGTCAACTTTTCCAAATATTATTTTTAACCTTTATAAATGATAAAACAATAAATAAGAAGTAAGAAAACCAATATATAGTCCCTCTAGAAACTTCTGTGGCACCTCAGTGACGAGGGAAATAAGGGAAAGCTTTGTTTTGACGGCGAGCGCTCTTGGTCACTTTTCGCACTTAGCGGTCATTTTTCTGCTTTCATGTAGAATTTATTTTATTTGCATTACTTTTCATAAAAAGTGTTCGGTGACACACGCAGTTTGTCGCAAGGCTGTCTGGCTCTCTGTGTTTTGGAGAGCAAGTAATTATCAGAATAATAATTCCACAAATAAACACATTTGTAACATA